CTTGAGTTTTAATAACCTTCAAATAAACCTTTTGATCAAGCTCAAATTTACAAAAAAAAATTAATTAAATTTAATCAATAATCTACAAATTTTAAGATTCACTACAAATTTCATGAAATGGTTTAAAGTATGAGTTTTTATTTTTTATTTTTATTTTTTATTTCTCAAATACTTAAGTCATTTCAAAACTACCTTAAATTTGAAAAGCCCTTATAAAGTCTTTACAAACTCAATTCAATCAAAATCAATGCCCAAAGAATCTTTCTCTTCTTTGTTCTTGAATTTTATTCTCTAAACAATAATAAAACCTGACATTTAATGTCCCATACGAGTTTGTATCTTGAAATTCGGTTTTAATCCTAATTCAAAATTAATCCTCCTTAAGTATAAAACTAATATTTTTCTAAGAAATATTTGCCACAAGCTACTTTTTACTAACACCTTAAGATTTTCGTAATATTATTTTTTCTAATTTATTTTTTTTTATCTTGTTTATGATCTAACAAAGTAATAAGAAGTATTTTTTTATAAACAAATGGTATTAATACTAATTAATTTTACTACCTCCTTAACTATTATCTACATTTCTAAAATAATTTGTTATAATATTTTTCAAAAAACTTCTATAATGTGATATTTTCTTCTTTTTTTTATCTATTACATATATTATAACATGTCCTACAAATTGGACATGAATTAGAGTTTCTATAGAATGTTACTATATAGCTCTTAGTTAGATAGTATACATAAAGAACTCAAATGAAGCTTTCTTTACTCTTGTAAATTCCTTTCTTGCTTCTAGTCTAGTTTCAAGAGACTCTAGATTACTAGTCTTTGACAATAATCATTCTAATTTCTTATATATATATATTTACTTCTTCTTTTTGTCATCTTTCTTTAAGAAACATCTAACTTTGTTATTTACATTCTTTAAGTTCTTATCTTTAATACAAGATTATACATATACCATACTTATTCTATTACAATATTTGAAGCTTATAATGGAATTATATTTTTATTTATACCACAAAAGAAAAGGTATTTTAATTAAATACCTAATTAATTTTATTAATCTATGCATATGTTGCCTTTGTATTCATATGTAGATTTAAATAGCATGTGGATGATCTTTTGTATTATAAAAAAATATTTTTAAAGCTCAAAAAAAATAAAAGAAGCAAACATTGTTTAAATTATTATAAAATTTGAACTTTTGTTGCAACCAAACTACAAATAATAGAAGTATAGTAGGTCACAAGAAAAGTAATAATTTTTTTTAAAAAAACTACTTAAACACATCCAATTCTGTGTAACATCATCTAAATTGATTTTAGTTCAAAAATATAATATAGCTTTAGATCATGTGCATACATGTTTTAATTATTGAATGCTTTCATGTATAAACATGTTTATAAAGGATCCAAAACAGGTAGATAGTGTAACAAACATTCATATCCTTATAATGCAAATATTATTTGAGCAAAAAAATTCAGTTTCTTTCACTCAAATCTTTGGGACACAATCATCAAATCTATAATTTGTGTTTAGAACTTAATTGCATCAAAACAACAAGACCAAATCCACAATGTTCTTTTGGACTCTGGTCTCTACTTCATCAAGGTTATGCCTACTATATTTTAGAGAGTATTAGAGATTGAAATGATGTATTGCCTAGCAACTAAGAATGATGAGTTCATACAGCTTCACCAACTCAGGATAACAATCACCTAAGAAACTGATTTACTTTGATGAAACATGAGAATCACCTAAGACATCATGACATTGTTGAGAGAAAATGAGAAGCATATTTTATGGAGTGGAGACTTCTGGAGCCCAAGCACTTCTTAGCATTCGCAAATTAATTTCTGCCAGTATCAGTAGGCACGCTGATTGTTAACCTTTGAAGCGGCTAACATAATTATGTGCTCTTCGTGCAAATGTTTCCTTTCTTTGGGTGCACAGCCGTGAATAAGTTTCACCATGAAATGAATAAATTTCACCAACACTATTGATAACAATGGTCATTTTCCAGCTCTTCTTCTCAAGTGTGCAACGATACGAAACATGTCCCTACTTTTTTGGATAAGTGGTGTCTGGACTAAGAAAATGCATACCGCAGAGAATCAACTGTCGAAGCTTCTACCAGGATTCTCCTTCTAGTCTTATTTACCGATGAACCATATAGTAGCCTTGAGTTCGAGCTTGGGTTCTTCCTCGAGCTCTTCTCTAGTTTGAACATTGTTGCGGAATTCTGCACGAAACTTCCCAAATAGTCAGGATTCTGTTTCAAACAATGATCCAAATAAACCTGGTCATCAAAACAATGCAGCTCATTTGAAATAGACCCCTCACTGCGTCAACTCCAAGTCACATTTCACGACACTCAAGCAGATAGAATATATATATATATATATATATATATATATATATGAGCAAAGCATATTGTTTGTGCATTGAAATTGGCGGGATTATCAGAAAGCACTAGTTGTCTAAGGACTAAGGGGCTTAAAAGTTGAGGAGTTCCTACTTTTGCACAGCATCAAACATGGATGCACAAAGATAGTCTCGGTTACAATCGTAACATCTCCGCTGCTCCTTTCTATCCCACTTCCTCGTCACTAACTTACTGAAACTCACGAGGGAAACATACCCGACTCAGTTCCTCAGCAATCATGAAGAGACTCGCTGCAAGCGGACATGCTTACTCTGCATACATGCCACTGTTCGGGTCTGCGGTATCTATCAAGAAGAGCATTTCGTGAGTCAACAAAATCTGACCAGGAATAGTGAACACATTCAGTACATCCAGGAGATAGGTTAAGATTTTCATCTGGATTGTGAAGGTCTTTAATTCCACCGCGCTATATGGTAGTTGAAAAATTGTTATGATAATTCAATGACACAATAAGCCGGAGTAATTCTACATATTCGACCACTGTTGGGTTGCATTCTTACATCTCCTTCTCTTTGGATTCCCAGAGCTTACCAATTTGAGCAACAGCTTTGCTGGAGCAGGACTCCTAGGCCCTTCCTCTACCTTTCCATTCTTCGGTTCCAATGTGGCACTCTTCTTCCTGCATGCTTACTTCCCCTCCACGCACGCTCCAACAGATTCAGCACATTCGTAACACACGATCAGGGCCTTCCTCCTAATCAGAATTGCAGTCCATGCATCACAACTCCGTCCGTCTCCTACGCTTCTGCAACATAAAGCTCGTTGACGCCAACACTTGACCACGATGCATCAAACTTTGTCTCCTAGTGGAGTCTGAATGCCTCTACAACTCCAGGATAGGCAATTTAGAGGTCACAAAGCGCCGCACACATCGGCCATTCCACGATGCACGATGAGCATATGAATTCCACGATGCAAGCACAGTCCGAATTAAAAGTAAAAGTAAAATAAAATACGAAACAATGTACAACCAAAACTTTCTAGAGTACAAATTGCAGTACAACATGATTGAAGCACACAAGTTTAAAATTTCAGTGTTAGACTCTTCATCACTTTTATATCCTTTAGACATGAAAAATAAAATAAAGAAAAACACTGTGAATTTCTATATCAAAAATATATCTTCTAAAAATATCATTCAAATCCAAAATTAAGCAAACATCATACTCTTGTTATAAAGCACAACCTAATTCATACGTCATATCAAGTAGACCATTTATTTCTAATTCTTATTTTGATACTAAATTCTTCTTCTTCTTCTTTATTCTTTTTCTATCTTTTTCTTTTTCCTTCCTAGAGTTTTGAGTTAAAAGTCTAACTCCATTTTTTAATAAAGGGATCATTGGCACTAACATCTAATTTTGGTGCATATCATCAACAAATAATTACTAATCCAATGTGGTGGAGTAGAATAAGATTCCTACAAAAAAAAATTGTACTCATGTTATGTAGAATAATATTCTATGAGAATGTGATTGTGATTAAGAAATGCCATCCCATTGTACTTTTTAATTCCCATCATACAAGTACCCATGTCCTTAACAAAGTACAAATTTCAAGGCATTCAAAACTAGTATCACATTATTAAATTAAATTCCCACATGATATCATGATTGTATAATTCTTTGGTATCCATGCTCAGTTTGTACAATGTGAAAAGATGGGTTGTCTTTTTAGTGCATTATTCATCTTTCTATTTGTACAAAATGCTTGAATTTGTTACACATGTCTCTAGTAAATAAACCCTACTCACTAAACTAATTACTTTAGTTTGAAAAAAACTTAAAATGAGTATGCTTTCAAAAAAAAATAAAAAAATTGTTTGATTGTATTCTAATGTAATGGGAAATACTTGATTCTCCATGTGTTTCTTATTTTCTTTTCATGTTTTTAATATTTTTAATATTATTAATTTTTTTTAATTTGATGAGAAACAAATGTGTGTAGGTAATTTGAATGGTATTTGAGGGGGGAAAAAAACTAAAATAAGGACTGCATATGCAAAAAAGACAGAAAGAAAGAAAGAAAGAAAGAAAAAAAAAAAAAAAAAAAGAATGTTCAAAATGGCAAGAAATTTAAATGTTTTTATAAAAGTGTGTATCTGCAAATTAAGGATATTTCACATTTGATAAACAGTTATATGCATAGATACTGTTTATATTGCACATAAAACATATATAATAATAATTTTTAAATTTTAAACTAAAATTTCATCCTTGAAAATTACTGTATGTGTATGTAACACACATTTAAAGTTTGAAAACATCTTAACAACTTACATAAAAAAAATAAAAATAAGTGTGAGACTAATTATTTATTAATAATTTATTTTTTTAATTGATTATATATATCTATATATGTATGTGTATGCATGTGTATGTTTGATGGGTGTATGTTCGTTTGTGTTGTGTTTCATAATACGTTTAACTTCAGTGGATAGAAATTTTATCAATTATGTAAGAAGTATTAATTATAAGATCTAAGTTTATGAACTCAGAACAACCTCCATTCCAACAAATATTATCAAGTAAGAAAGAAATATTAGTTAATGGGTAAAAAATAACATATATATATATACACATATATACACACACTAGTTGTAGCCTATGTAGGACGCTAAATAAAATAATTATGCATTCTATTGTTATTTGATTCCAGTGTTTGCAATCTTATTCAGTTATCTATCTATCTTTAAGCAATTTTCTTCTTATTTTGTATTAAAAATATTAATAAAAATACACATTTCAAAAATTAAAAATTAGTAAATTATTCTATTTTTGTAACATAATTCATGTTGTTATATTTTATAACTCCTCAAATGTAAACACGGAGTGGGTCCAGCATGAGGTTGTGGTGTAAAAGTGGTTGTAGTATGAACAAAGAAACTCTATGAAGAGAGTTGTTTTCGTCTTGTATGAGGTTGCAGTATGAAACCCTTAATCAACTGCAAAACATCTCTTGGAAGTATCAACCATTAGTAATCATCGCTTCATTATAAATTGATGTAAGTCTGAACCTCAACATACGGCATGAGGAATTGAAATATTTTGCGGTGTCACTATATCGTGAAAGAAATTTTTGCTACCGGCAAGAACGGCCCACAGCCTGAAGCCATGCAGTTCCAATGTTATGACAGCGGTTTATTTCCAGTGCTTCAAGTTGGAGACAACCCCCATCAATGGCAACTAGGCTGCGGTCACCCACATAGCATGAGTCACTCAATGTGACTTTTCTTAACTTTTTGTATCCTCCCCCAATAGCAAGCAGACTTCTGTAGATAAAAAATGTATGAATCAGTAAAGGGTATTATGACTGCATAAATAGACCTCGTTCATGAGCATAGATCACTCTGCACTTCTTTTTTAAAATTTAGGTTCTCATGCAAAAGTGATATATTTACATAAAAATATGCATGATAGGAATTTTTGCTATGATTTGTAATTTTTTTAAACTAAGAAATTCAATATCACAAGTGAACAAACTTCTATTCACAATGTTATGCTCTAAAGGAAAATGACTCCTCCAAGAAAGCGTCAAGACATGGCTAAATAGAATAAAATTATATAAACTGTCGAAAAAAAAAATTGTTGATGCATTATGTTAATTGTATGACAAATTGTGTGAATAGGAAACTTGTCGATCTGTAAATTTTTGAAAGCCGTGTAAAGCTAAGGTCTCTAATAAAGGACAATTATGGCCGACTACTTGCAAACCTTCCTTGCACACATTGACACATTATAGTCGAAGCATTTGTAGTTGTACGCAACCTCGGCCTATCACCAGCACACCATCCATCTCAATATACTCGGAGTCTAAAGTGAACTTCTTGAGCATGTTATAGTTGGTCTCCACAGCCTACAGTCGGAAGCAAACGATGACGAGGTGGTCAACTATCAAAATCAAACAATGTGCTTGAGGAGCATTTGTATCATCAACATGCAATCCAAAACTTAATACATCTGGACTTTTATAGACTCTACAATTTCAAGGCTGTGCCAGACAGCTTACCAATTGCGATGAACTAGGTTGAGAAAGCAGGAAATTTTTAGAAAATGATTTAGGTAAAGAGTTGAATGACCTTCAATACTACATTTGTTATACGAGCACAAGCTGCAATTCTAAGTGATTGAAGCAATTTTCCACATCCTTCAGTAATTCCTACTATGTCGATATTGCTAATTCATTCACAAAAATAAAAATTTAGCTCTTCCAGCTATTTACAATATATGCCTATGGCCTTCAAACCTTGGTCCTGATATAGCAGTCTTACAGCAATTCCACCTAATAAATACATCTTTATATAGCTAAAAATTTAATCATGATCATTTACTACACAAACATGAAGAAAAACCAGCCACAAATAAGCATAGGAAACAAAAATTAGAGATCACGACCTTGTTTTGAATTGGGATGATACAACAGCAACATATATAGATAGAAACATTGAAGTTTGGTTGTAGACATGATTATATACATATAAGTCCAAGACCTTTAAACCACTGCAAGCATTTGCTAGATTGACAAGGTCGTGACTTAACACTGCAGAGCACCACATGAGAGACAGACTCTCTAATCTTAGACATCCCTTCGCTAGAAATCAAAGTCCCATATCTAAAAAATTACTCAAACCATTGTCATTGCTGTCATCTTCACAATTCATTATCACGCGGTGCCCACTTCTTCTCGTCTTCGAGAGCAATGTCATACCTACAGCTTTACCCTGCTACAAATATCCAACAAAGAAACATTCGCAATAATTTAGCCATTTAACTAATAGTTCATGCTCAAAATCCTCCAAAGAAAGATTACATTCAATAAAGAACGTTCAAAGTAAAGATCGAGGCATTAAAGAACATTAACAACCTTCTTTATCAGATTCTACTATGTTGTTGAGTGTACCATTCTCAATTCTTTACATATCATTGAAATCTCGAAAGTTTCTCAATTATCACAATAAATGAAATTAGCTACAAAGAAAACTTCAAAAGTGGCTAAAATTGCATTACGTTTGAATTGAAGGGACCATAACTTATCATGAAGTGAACTACAACACAAATTTGATATATGGAGCTAATAAGAAATGGCCGCATCATATGAAGATAATGTATTCAACGATGTAAGAGCCGGCCATTGATAGATACAAGAACAAGTAATTTCTTATCTACACAAACTTGTCGTAGGTTTGGAAATCTTTGAACCATCTTTGCTAAATATGCATCTGACTGCCACATCATGCCTAAGATTAGGGATTGGCGACATACACTCTCCAGCATCCTCCATCTTTTACAGACCAACAAGCAAGCATCTCGGTCGTTGCCTCTTCCATCGACATATTTCATGATTTCTATTAGCTTCTCGTCTGGCAACAAGTTTATCAGATCTTGCCCCTTCACCATGCTCGATGTTCCAACAGTGCGACAAAAAATAACTATAAAGAATATTCAATCAGCATAACAGTGGTTGCATTGTCCTTTCAATTTGCACATATGCCTTTCCTAGCTTTGGTACTAAGCTCAAGTCAAAAATTCACCAAAACATCGAGCCAAATTAACACTCATAAAAGTAGCCATTTTTACATCCTACAAAAAAAAAAAAAAAAAAAAAAAAAAAACTAGCCAGAATTTGCAAAACATGAATCCACTACACCGCCAACACACTCTGCCCAAATCTTTCAGCAATCAGGAGCCCAGATTCGGTCTAACAACACGAATCATTTGTCGATCCACAAAGACACATTGCGCCTACCACCCAATACACTTCAAATCCTTACTACTGCACCTTACAAGGACGTAATGCATCGATTCAATCTGCATTTCGGCTCTCGAGTTACCATAGCACCAGAAGTGAGTCATCCCAAATCAACAAGACGTTGGACCTGTTACCACGGTTACCTTGGAAAAGATTTCCATAATCTCTAGTCTTGTGTAACCACCTGCCTAATCTTCCCTAACCCACTCCTTTCAATGTCCACATTATGAACCTCCGCTGGTTAATCCAACTCATGGACTTGCTCCTCCTACTCATTGCCGTGTCACCAAACCATTTTCAGAAGGAACTATCTCCCTGAGCAGCAACAACCAGTCTTCCTCACTACAACGTCCTCCTCATGCCCAAAACCAACCCCCTGCCCCATCATAGCACACGATGCTTTCACCTATCATACACATCTTCTCACTGAGAAGATTGTCACTTCCATTGCATTCACCATTGTCCTGAGCTGAAATCCAAATTGCATCCATGATCGAGTTCCGTAGTGTATGTTGTGATCGATGACTATTGATTTCACGAAAGTTTGATGCACAACATATGCGATGACCGTTTCTCTTGCATGTATCTTAAGTCGGATGCAGAAATGCTCTCAATAGGAACTTAGTCATTGAGATTATTATAGGGCTCCTAAATTTTGAGTGAGTGAATGAGTGTGTGTGTATGTATGTGTGTCATAGAAATAACAGATTGATCAACTGTGGTTTGACTATGACAAAATGGAGAAAAGATGTGTTCGCAATCCACGCCATGAACGAATGCCATGGCATTAAGCTACATTCACACTTTGGCTCCCATGTTTCCATCCACAAGGATATGGCTTTCATGGAGTGTTGTTGTCGTACTCGTTGTCTTATTGCACCCAAAGTGGAGACGATGCATCTTTGAATTGTGGAATTTTTTTGTATCCACAAATGTGGCAATTTTTTCCAAGATCCACTGTCAAAAAGCACACCAAACTTTCACTGTCATACTGCCGTACTTTACGACTCAAAAATATTACATTAATTTCAGAATATAAGTACAAGTACATGCACAAATCAACACACACACACACACACTCTAACACTCTTTTCATTTTGATTCCTTTGATAATATATAAATCTATGTCAACTATCAATGTATGTTGAAATTATATTATATTGTAATGATAATAGTTCAAGAGCTTCTAAAGCAAAATGATTAAAAAATATCTAATATTTCCAATGTTAAAAAGATTCATTCAAGATCTAATAGTGTGTATATTTGCAATTCAAATAAAGCTCAATCATTTCACCGACATTTCATTTAACAAACAAAAAACAATAATGCAGTAGTCTGTAATTAATAAAATTATTCTATTGTTTTGATAATGTTTTAACGATCAATATTTTCTAAATAAAGTTTTTAAGATTTGTGAGGTTAAATCTTGTAACAAATGTAGCCAAATTATCTACAACAAATATAGCATAGATATGAAAAGTACAAACTTAAACATTATTAGAATAAAGTAAGAATATTATTATTATTAATATTATTCTATAAAAATATTAGGAATATATAAATATCCCTTACATATATATATATATATATATATATATACAAATAAAATGGCTAAGTACCAATTTCATGTATTATATATTACATATCACATGCATAAAATACATACACATATAAAAATAATGTAGTAAGAATGTTGAAATAATGAGTATAAAAAGAAGGGCAAGGCCAATTATTTCTTAGTAATTTGGTATTACTAAAATGAAGAAAAAAAACACATTTCAATGATTTTGGACATTTGTGACTTATTCCTTTATAGGATTTAAGTCATGGAGTTTCTAATTGGATATACTATTTCATTAAATGGTAAGCATAAAACAATCTCCATGTTAGAGTTAAATGACTATCAGTACTGATCCTAATTCTTTTAGTACTTATGTCATGTATTCACTTAAAATCACATTGGAATCTTAATTCAATTAATTTCTATTGAACCATATTACACACCAATATGTAATATGTAGAGTAACATTTCACTCCATTTACATGAATTTCTTTATTTCTCTTTTAATATCTTTAGCTTGAACAATAATTACAGCTTTATTCAACTCACTAACTTCATTAGGAACAAATAAAATTTAAAAATGTCATCTGACTATATAAGATAAAATATATATATATATATATATATATATATATCAATTTATTATCCAAGACACTACTTTGTATAAAATCCAAAGAATTTGTTTAGTGGGTGCATCATTAAAAAAATAAATAAAATAAAATAAAAAATGTACCAAATTAAGATATTATCTCAAAAACCATATATTAGTTTCTCCAAATTTCTTAATTTTCTTATTAATATTATTATTAGTATTTTTTTTCACAAAAGAAAGTCTTATTCCAAAGAATGTTTCAAAACACACTTACGAGAGAATCCAATATCCCAATTCTACTTAACCCTAATTCTTCAACATATCTCCAAATCAAGAGAGAAAGAAGTTGTTTTCTAGAAGGTGTTATAAATGGATGAAAGGTTGTACATATTGGATGCTTGAAACAACCACAGTTGTATTCCAGGCATTATTCTTCAAAAGTAAAATGTGATGTTATTTGTTACTTTTCTTAGGCATTCGTGGTACTGAGCTCCTACGAAAAAATTTCATGCAGTGGTTCATATGTCATCCTTTTTATTATGATTAATTAGTGATACTAGAGAAATTTCTCATCTTTAGGCAGTTGGTGGGAAGCTTTTGAATAACAAGCCCAATGATGCTTGATGGAAGGTTGCCAAATCTGAAGACGATGTTCTTTTGATAGTTCAATCAAGAGCATTGCAAGTAGAGTAGAATGATGTTTGAGGATTTGAACTTATGCAAATGACATAAGATTTTTAATAAATAGATTATGGTTAACATATACTCAAATTTTATCTTAGGTGATTCGAGCAAATTGATACAATATTATTGGATAGGATTGGATAAGATGTATCTTTTTGAGGCATGTGATTGTAAGCGCTATGAATCTAGGAATGTGGAAAGCATCGACTTATTGTAGCAAAGGTGTGAAGCACTGAATTGGTCCAATAATAGTGAACAACTTGCCTCAGTGGTAATTTGTTTGCAAGAGTTGAAGTACAATTGAAATTGACATACGATAGCAAAGTGAGAGGACTACATTGAAGTGCCAAAAATTAGTAGCTAAGTAATTCAATTCAATAAGGATGACAACAAAGTAAGTTAATGTGAGCAAACTAATAGCAACAATTAAAAGAACACAACAAAAAGGATGAAGTGAAAATAAGTGAATAAGATCAAACTAAAATTTTGTAGGTGAGGTACCAAGGTGAACTAGATTCAAAAGTGAAATGTAATCAAGGATGAGGTATCAAGGTGAACTAGATTTAAAAGTGAAATGTAATCAAATGGCAAACAAAAAACAAACTAGAAAACAGAACAAGGGTTTTTTCTTATGCTTGTGGAATAATAAGTTGTATTCCAACTAATTTGAGTAAGAAGCATGCTAGAAGCATTTTATACTTCATAAGTTTAGATTGAAAATGAAAGAACTAAATACAACAATGATGGATTCTATGAAAGCAACAAATAAAAACAAAATTGTGAATCAAAAAGAGTAATAAAAAAAGTGAAGTAAGGATACAATAAAAGAACAAATATAAGAACAAAAGACAGTAATTTATTATTGTAGAAAGACAATTATGAAGCAAGAAGAAGTTTGGCACAAAAAAAATACAACAAGAGTGATAATAAGAGCACCAAGTAGAATACAACAATAAAAAATTTGTGTGATACTATCGAAGGTAGCCAAAAGTGTGATTGAAGAATGGTAGAATTTGCAATAGAACTATGATTAAAGAAGAAGAAGAGGATAATGAGGTGTGTAGGACTTTAATTGTTGTCAAAAAAACTAGAGTAGAGAAACTATCAACAAGAATAACATCACATCAATATAAAGGTTTGGTAAGTGGGCAAGTACAACATAGTGTGTATTATAATTATAGTGTATTAGTTTTAAAACAAAAATTACAACTGATGCAAACTAGCAACCTTGTGAAAAAAGGATAATAATATTAGTTGATGAATCAAAAGAATTACCAAATAGATTTGAACAAAAGTTATGTTTATTGTGCATTTTTATACAAAATTGAATAATGTGCTATATAAGAGCTTGAAAGATAGATAAGAATAAATATACATGATTCAAAGACGTATAAGCTGCAGCAAAATAGATGTTTTGAGGTGAAATTAACAAACCCAAAAATAGTTAAAAATATATTAGAATGTATAAGGTTATAATTTTTTTTTCAAATGCATTAGATTTCTTTGAATTTTGTTGTAAGATCCTCCTTTGAATAAACAAATATTTTATTATTGAAAAAAATTTATATTTTTTGTTTTTTTTATTTTAATTATTTATTTTAATTATTTACTTTATTTTATTTTTTAAAAAAAAACATATAAGTTGTAGCAAATAGTTTTGTATTAGTCAAAGAGGTTCTTCTTCACAAAATTGTCATGTCTGTCCTAAAACCATCACACAATCATTATTATTTTTCAAATATCTTTTTAAAACTACTATGTTTATTTAGGTTTCTAATTTTGTTATTACATCATTATAACCTACTATTAGACTTAAGAAGTGAATTGCAATTGAATTTTTTTTAATATAAATCTGTAATTTATATTAAAAAAATAAATTTTCTTTACTAAATCCAAAAAATGATTTCTCTTAAACTTATTATTATATTACTAAAGTGAAAAAAACTAGTCTTTAAGTTATATATCTTTCTTCAAATATTTCTCTAAAACTCTTAAAAGTTTTACTTCTATTTCTTTTATATTTTAGATACAAATCAAGGATATATCATACTTATTAAAAAATATTTTTTCAAATTGGTTATACTTAAAATTTCAATCTTAATTGATATATATATATATATATATATAGATAGATATTTATATATGTTAGACAAGGTATATTACCAGACACTTTTATTTTCGTATTTATGATGTATTCTTATCCTAAAGCTAATTCTAAGCTTAAGATAATACATGAATAAAAATATTAAAACTATAATCTTTTCAAATTCTATTATATTCTTATAAGAAATATTTTTATACTATATTTTAAAATAATTTAATTCTTTATTACAAGGCTTGAAATTATTAAAAATAATTATTTAAAAAAATAAAAACAAAAAAAATAATTTTAAATTATAATTTTAAATAAATATTTATTTTATTTTATTTTTATTTATATTTTATTATTATTTTAACCAATTAAATGAGAATTCTATATTTAATTATATTGATCTAAGTTAGAACCTACTTGATTTTAGTAAGTATTGTCGTTTTTAAGCTGCTTAGTAACTATTTCAAGTGTAATAAGAAAAAATTGATTAAGGCTATTATTTATAAATTTGGAAAAAAAAGATAAAATTTTCTGCCCAAGATAATGACTTATACTAATCATTAAATAATATAAGTGGTTTTTATATTAATTTTTAAATCTTATATTTTTTTAACCTTTAAAATATTACGATCATTTTTTATATTATAATGGCTCTTAGTATAATAATTGTACAAAATAAGGTCAGATTCATAAAGATTTCAAATGATAAAAATAACCAAATATTTATAACAATTGTACTAATAATTTCAACTCTAAAAATTAAGTATGCCAATGTATTCTTTTGATTTCTTCTAAATAAATTGAATTAAAAATAATCAAATTTAGACTCCATATGCACTAGAAGTAAACTTCCAAATTTGACACTTAAGAATTTTAGATAATGTATTTTTTTATTTTTTTATTTTTTTAAATATTAGATCTTATAATTAAATAATAGATCTATGATTATAGATCTATCATCATAGTCCTAAGATTGTAAAAATCCTATCACTATGAGAACCATGTCATTGTGCACCTTGTACCATATCATTGTAAATCGACTCTTTGAATTATAAGCAAATGTCACATGTCATCATTAACTACTATTTGCTACGAAAAATCTTTTTTGTTTTTTTTGCAACTTATATCAAATCCTTGCACTACATTACCTTATGCAATGCACATTGCTGAGCAACTTCGAGATTGATCCCAATACCAAAAACCACTCGATAAAAAAAAAAAAAAAAAAAAAAAATCAATATTATACTATCACAGCTCTGCCTTGCCACCTTGTTGTACTACCTTGCACTGTTTTTTGCAACCATGTTCGACAATCTGAATTAGCCACCTATACAATTTGCAACCTCATATTGGAACTATGCCTTTCTTACAATCCTCTTGTATAACATTGCAATCTTGTATTGTGACTACCCCTCTTCTACAACCTTCTTGTATAGCACTATGATCTTGTGTTCTATTATTGCCTTGCATTGTTGCAACCTTGAGGTCTTGTATTGCTATCTTATATTGTCTTGTATTCCATTATAATATTATTTTAATATTACAGTACATATTTCAATGTAATATCGTTGGTTCCAACGCCTAGCACCTAGTGCCTCATTCCAATGTTGCAATAGTAATTCACCTAGTTTTAGTATCCAATAGTGCTCAAAACCTAGCAACAAAAATAAAAACCAAATTATAATTTTATTTTATTTATTTATTTTGATATACTTCATTCTAACTTGCTATACTACAAATTAAAGAAAATGAGAGATTCTTATTAAGTAAAAGATTAGAAATCTACACAAAACTAAATCAAGCTATCTTTTGTGCTACAAAGGAGGATCCCAAGAATGCAAGTGTGAAAATAAGAGAAATTATAAAGCTTTATTAAAATAGCTAAAACACCATAGCTAAGCAATTCCTTACAACAAGTTCTCTCACTCTCAAAATCACTCACAAGACTTGACTTGACAAGAATGTCAAGTTAAGGATTTTTTTCCACTTAAGTACTCAAATCTTAATTGATATAAATAATTCAACTAACAAAAAAACTATTAATGGATAAAAAACCACTATCCAAACTAAATCATATAGATTCAACAAAATTTGGTATCCAATGCCATATCACGCAACAACTTTCTTTAAGAGAGCTATCATTGGTATTAAAAGAATAATTCATCATATTTTCTTAAGCTTTCTTTATATTTGTAGTTCTTCTCTTTTTATTCAAGGTAGTATAAAATAAAAGAATATCACACCTATATAGATTCAAATCTTTGTGCAAGAAGAATCTAAATTGTTCCATCTTTAATCCAAATTAAGGAACTAAAAAAAGAAGGCACTAAAAAGAATATTTGTAATTACAACAATAACTCTTATGATTGAATTTAAGAAAGGTGATTACCAACCATTTTGAAAATCTCTCAACAATTGAATATTATACTTGAGAGACTTCTTGTAAGTAAAAAATAAAAATAAAATATTCTCAAGCATAGTTAGACATGACCATATAAGCCACAATGTGATATCATTAAAAAGGACTGAGATCAAAATGTCCAAGACTGCACTTGGAAGGAAGCGCTACCATCTAAATAGTATTATCTACTATCTTTGAGTGAATTGTAAGAGCACTTGTATACCCATCTTTGAATCAATAACAAATAAGATTATAATTCAAGAAAGCACAAAAAAAACTAGACCAATAAAAAAATAAAAATAAAAATAAATCTTTATTTGCATACAAGGACTATACATGCCATGTTAAGATTTTAGAAGGATTTCAGCTTTGGAAGAAGCTTCATCTTATTCAAATTGAGAAACTTACAAGATTGAATCAGCCAAAATGATAGAATATGGAGATTATCACATCCTTGCCATTGTTTCAGGACCTTGCCAAATGTGCTATTATGAAACTAGACATTGCAAAGCAATAATATCACAAGACATGAGGGAGAGCATTGGGGCAAACCATTTTTAAACACCTTATGGTAAAAAAGGTATTTTTTATTCTAAGTAGAAGTCAAGTGGCTTCAAGTGGGCCACAATAGCCTTACACTTCTTGAAGGCCTTGCACTTCTTTACACTAGTAAATAAGAATCCATGTAATAGATTAGCTAGAATTAAACTGCAACTATTGATCTGCAAAAATTTCTCTTCTAATGGAAACGATTAGATATTTTGAATCAGAAAACGTATGTACACTAAAAAAATGTACTGTTTGTATTGTAGTAATTTTGTTCCTTGATCTTTATCGATTCTGTCTCAATAATTTCAAAGTGAGATCAACCTCTCCGTAGCGAATGAGAACAGAACACTTGTCGGAACGTGACTGGTGCGTTGAGTTACTGGCCATGCTTCAGCCCTAATCGTAGTCAGCTCTCTCGCCTAAAGAAGTGTTGCAGTTTTCCTGCGCCTCCTTGGATTGAGATCCTTTGCACGCATTTTAGCCTTTTCTCGAGGAAGTCCCTGAGTTGGAAGGTGTGCTACCTTGAAGTGTTCTAGGCTTTCAAGGGTTTAACACGTTCAAATCGCGATATAGCTTCGGTTGTTGCAAAAGATTGTGAGCAGTTTTGCAAACGTGTTAGTGCAGGGAAGGAATTTTTATCAGCGGTGTTGATATCCATGACAGATTCTGCCTGACATGGGGTTTCATTCCTTGTGTTGAGATGCGACTTGGTTATTGCTAATTTTACTACATGGATGTACACGATGGTTTTTCTTGTTTGTAGGTCATCCGAATTCGATAGGTGGCTGGAGCTGATGCGTTGAATGAGGTCTCAGGATGGTTTTGTTTTGCATTTCCAAATGTCTACATGGTTGCGAATTCCATCTGTGGTTTTGGAGTCGGCATGGGGAAGAAGCGCTCTGGATGCCAATGATACAGATGTGATTAACTATATTTTCACGGGTGTCGTGTTTAGTGAAGGACTGTGTGTGTGTTTATTTCAGGTTACGAGATTGATAGGCCCTCTGGATCTTTGTAGCTTTGAGATGGAGTAGCAGATGTTCTCCTGGTTGCGACTCGTTAATTTTTTCAATCAGGAAGCTGGGCTTATATTTCACATTGGATAATTGAAGAGTATGTGTGTTCCATTTCTTCACCAAATAATTTCGAAAATCATTTCCGTTCGATGAAGTTTCTTTAACGTCATTACAATACATTAAAGACCTGATAACAAGATTATAGGGCTAAAAGCTTTGTCGGATCTGGTGAATTATGTGTTCCATCAGCCATGCATTACGTGTTCATGACGGCAGACGCATCGCTGAAACCATCGCTCCTCCCGAAACTGCACTTGTGTGCTCTACGGTCATGCAGTGGGGGTGACCACTGCAATTGCAAGTTAAACACTTCTGCAACTTTTCTTGATGTAATTATTAAGTTCTATAACTCTGAAACACTTTATACAGATTCTCTTCACCCCACGCTTACTGTGTAATGCCAATTTTTTTTATCGATAGTCTAACCCTAATCTCGTTACATGTTATACACCGCAGAAGTGAATTGAGGATTTTAAGAATTTTCAAACCGGTCAAATCTTGCAACTGAACATATGTCACGAAGTACAGGACAAACATTTCAACCAAAACAAAGTAATCATGGACATAAGCGCAAAGGAAAGCCTGTGGAGGCGTGGATGTTGGAGCTTGAGAAAGCTCAAGATCAGGAAAATGGATCACAAAGCCTGGACCTGACTGCCATCAAGCAAATTGCCGATGGGGTCGAACAAATGGTCTTCTCTTGGGGACTGGATAAGCAAGAGATGGGCTACGAGTATGCTAAACTATCCAAGTCACTGGCGAAAGAAAATCGTCACGTGGTGCTTCCCTGGAGCTTAGACAAAACAGAGGAAGGTATGAATTCTGCTTCTGAGATGGATGTACTGGCATTAAGAAATGACATGAAGGAAATCTTAGAAAATCCATCTCCCACATCAACACAACCGCAGTTGCCTACGGAATGTGCTGTTATTGAGACCAGAAGTGCATCTTCGAAGTTGGCAGAGGTGAAAAAAAGAGAGAATACATGGCTAGACAACTTTGGCAGTTGCAGGGACAGATCTCTATCGCTTGAGTCAGCTTCAGAGGATCCTCAGCCATGGAAAACAAGAAAAGAACATGCAGAAGCCAAGACGTACAACAGGTTCAAATGTGAGACTGATTCTTGCATGAACGCTACGGATGGAGTAGGAAGCTGCAATGTTCAGATTAGCACAGGCGAAAATCTGCTCGGTTTTGAGACCAGAGCGAGGGAGAACAGCTGTCAGAAAATGACACCCGAACACTGGAATATCATATGTGAATCTATCGATGGGGGAATTGGGGAAAGCAATGTTGCGAGCGATTTTTGCACAGACGCTTCAAAAAGAGGAGACAATCCATCACATGCTAATGAAACTGAACTCAGGCCCTGCCTTGGAGAAGGATCTCCTATTTGGATAGAAGAGGTTGCTCCACCAACACCGGAAGGAATATGTCAACAACCAATAACGAATCAAACAAGAAATCATTATCTTCCATCAATGTTGACTCATGAATCAGCCGGGAACGCTTCTTCCTTGTTGAGCCAATCTCTATCGTGTGCGCAGTCACCCTTACCGCAACCTGAGATAGTCCAGTGTAGCGAGGCATCCAATGAGCGTGATAGGCTCCCGTCAAGTACAGATCCTCAAATGTGCTCGCCGATCAATGCGAACGAACCAAAGGGCTCACCTCCGCCACTGCACTTTTCGGCCTCAAATTTAAGTTGCAGAGAAGATACTGAATCGGTTGAAGTTGGTGCGTCCATGAACCCCTCCGCACTCTGTTTCCAAGATTTCGTGTTTCAATACATGTCTATGTAACCGGTTTGAAACTTAACACTGCACTACTATTTAAGAGGTTGTTGCGAGCAGGAGGGCATACCATCAAAATGACAGCATTGCGAGGTGACAATGATATTCTTGAGAACAAGTTCCAGACACTAGTTAACATTAATGCCGGTTCGCTTGGCGTCCAGGTGCAAATCATGTCATCCTTCTCCATAGTTGGGTGGTTCCTTGCCTTGACAATTAGATCAAACCAACTGAAACTACAGAATAAATACAGTTTCGTCCAAGAAATGGGCTTGCGGATGACCTCTTAGGATTTGACTTATTTATATGAGAGAAACTCTATTGTAACTATGGTGCTCAAAGTATGTTAATAATTAGTTCGTTAGGCAATTAACTTCATATATGATATGATTTGAAATTATTGAAAAAGATGGAACACCGCAGTTTTATAATCGATCAGCAACGTTAAAGCAGGAGCACAATCAATTAAAACCCTCTCCGACAACAGATGTTGAAGAACTTCAAATAGCTCTTCTCGAGTGTGCGATGGAGTATGAAATCAAGGTTGGTAACCACAAGTTTTTAAATTGAGACATGATCTTCCGAGTGTGTTGCTTAGAGGTTTCTTTGTTACTTTTGAATCAAGAATTGGCACTCTTCCTGAGGTGAAACATTCTAAACATTCTGTACACTAATTTCATGCTTTTTGTCGAACTCACGTTTCCCACTTTTGTTCCAACAAGCAGAACATAGAAGCCAAGATGAAGATGCAGGAGCTGAAATTAAAGGGACACCAGAATGTGGCGGTTGCAAAAAGCGAGCAACTCTGCCCTAAAAAAGCTATCGAGGTTGGATATACCAGAAACACGAGTCTGAGACCATCTTCACGTATTCACTAGCAAGCAGCATGATTCAAGATACCAATTCCTGTCTATACTCTTGAATAGTCAAGGACATAGAATTTGGATTCTATTAATGTATCAGTCTAATTGCAGCCATCGTCAACTCAAGAAGTGACGATAGATAGTCAAAGATCGCAGCAACTGAAGAAACAAATGGCGAAGCTGCAGCATGAGAAAAGCACTCTGGGCAACGAACTCAATGCGTTGAAGAAGAAAGAGAGGTTTCAAAATCCTACATGTCTCAATCGACAATTGTTTTTCTTCGAAGGTCCAATACGGATTTCTTCTAAGAGTGAAATTGAATTTCAATCTTCGTGTATGAACTTCGACGTGTTATTGTGCAATGCACGACGTTTCCAAGTGTGATTCCCTTCAAGTCCAGCACTTGTGAAATGACAAAATTTTACAGGGTCACTTAACGTTGAATAATGACTTGTAGGCAATTTGAGATGCAGAAAAGAAGTCTAGAAGAAGCTCTGCTTCGAGTTAATCGACTCCAGAGGTTAGAGTACAATTCCAAGAGCTGATCAGATAGTCTTTGATATAAATATATTACACATGCTTGCCCTCACTCTACAGTATGGAAATTCATTGATCTTTTCTTATTTAGAGAGGTCTTGAAGAAGGAGCAAGAAGTTGTGGAGTGGCAACTAAAAGAGAAGGAAACCAAAGCTCAACTACAAGAGGTAGACGAAAGACTGAAAAGAGAACGTCATGCACAGATGTCTCAGCCTTTGGAGCCAAAGAAGCTTCTCTCTCTGCTTCCAGCGCTACGTGACTGGTTGCGCTCTTTGAAGAAGGTTCGTTGTAACGCTGCTCGAATAGGAGTCAAGCATCGAAGGCTTCTGAACTTTGATGTGGTTCATAGTTGCGAATTATGAGGATACTAAGCTGTTCCTTTGACACTCAAGGCAACTTCCTTGCAGGTGGGAATGACGAAGGCTGCTGAGCGTCGAATATTTCAGGTACAATCAGAACACCCTCCGTGCCTCACATCTCTCCTGTCTCAATATCGACTTTTTCCGAGGAACACTCCAGTAGATCAATATGCAAGTTCTAAAATTCATTACCACCCGTAAACTTTATTAAGAGGCAGCAACTCAACTGATCATTCAGAAGACATCTATGATAATCGATCGTTTCCAATGCAGGACAAAGAGGAATTAGGTAGAAATTATCCTAACTTAAGGGATGGTTCTCCTTTGCAAGCACATGCTAATTTTCACAGCAGAGACAAAGGATTTAGCCCACGTATACCGGTAAAAATTATTATTTTCTTGCATTTCACACGATTTGAGCATAGAAATTTAATCCGTTTGGTTTAATTATTTGATTATGCAGCTCAGAGTTTTGGTTGTCTGGTGTTTTTAAAGCAGCATTTACTAGGATTGTTGCTGGACAGACAATAAACTAAGTATTTATGATGGAATATGGCTCATTTAAATGAGAAAAGTCCTGGCAGAAACAAACTGATAGCATTCTTCATCGTTTCAGGCACATCTGGATACGCTAGGACAGCTTGGTGAACTGGCAAAGCAGTCAAATCGGAATCTTAGTGTAAATCAAGTCGATGTGATCATCTGCTGTCTGTCCAAGGAGATTCATGCCCTGCAAATGGAGCTTACAAAATTAGCGAGAAGTTAAAGCAAAGATCCCTGTGCTTTGCTATTCTAATAATGGGACAATGGCAGAAAGATTTTGAATCTCAATACAACCACCTCAACTGTTTGATTGAATAATAACTTACCTTTCTTGCCAACACTTGATCTCGATTTATTCAATGCCTCACAAGAACACTAATCAAAGAATTCACACTGAACAGACACAGGCATAAGAATGAAAAATTAAACTGTTCTATCTAATCAGCTCTGGATTGTGGTGATGTGGCTTTTGGACAACAATCTTTAATTATCACGTTTTAGACTGTGGGAATGGTCACTTTATCTTGCTGAGAACATAGAACTCTGGAAAATCTGATGTTGAAAATTTAAAGAACAAGTGGTTCAATGCATTTGATTTAGAATTATAATAGATTTGTTAGTGTCCTAATAGTCAAAACTTGATTTTGTTTTACTTTATTTTGAAACAAAAGCAGGTAAAACCCGTATGCTTCACCCAAAGCTTGGCACTTTGATTGAGGAGTTTTGTTCAATTAATTATTTACATTTTATGCTTTAGATGGAGCAATTTAAGTTGGCAATGCTAAACTTATCTTAGGAAGAGGGGTGTAGCTCCATCTTAGAGAAGGATTTTCACCTCTTAGAGCTAGCCTATTATCGCTAATCTATAAAATTTACAATCTTTAGGAGCTTAATTTTGTTTTGGAGTCTTGTAAAAATCATAGCTAAGATTTTTCTCTAGCACATTTTTTCCTAGTCAATTATCCTATGCCAAAAAATAAACAAATTCTTATTGTGAGGCCAAGATTCTCATTTCAAAATGATGTCATTTCTTTATTTTCATATGTTCTAAAAGAAAACTCTTTTAATTAACAAATACAAAAAGTTTGTGTCTTTTGATTTCATAAGAGTCACCAAATATGGCTTGATATAGAGACAAGATTGTCTTTGGAAGAGATCTTGGTCGTGAATTTTGATTACTTAAGGAATATAAGATTATTCTATCATATTTCCAAATGATTTGAACAACCCTACATTTTTTTTAAATAAATATAAAATAGTTTCAAAAGTATTGAAAAAACATAAGAAGCAAGTATTTTTATTTATTACTTTTTATTTTTTTATTTTTTATTTTTATTGATAATATCTTTATATCAAATGAACCAAATCAAAGTGAATTTATTTTTGGCTTTAATTTTGTACCAAAATTTCTTCAATTGAATTTAAATTTTGTAAATTGTAAGATAATTGATCAGATACAATTTTAAAGGATTATTTTGTTATATTTTTGCATTATATTTTCTAAAGATGCACAAATCATTTAAACTTAAGTCATTAGGATCAAAGTCCAAATTAACTATCTTTCTAAATTAAAATAATTTTATTCTTCAAATCCTTGTCCAATAGTAATTCTACATCTGCATATAAAATAAAAATAACTTATAATTGGATCTAAAGTTGTATAAAAGTAGGTGAGTGTAAATAACCACCAATCTTTCTTAATATAAAAGTGATTTTACTAGCTATGTAGAAAGGTTTTTTTACATTAGAGAATATAGTTTTTAAAAAAATCATTTATTTTATATTTTTCTTTTGATTTTTTTAATAAAAATAAAGGCTATTTAATATTTTATTAATAAATAAGACAATCTAATCTTTACTTACAAAGGTCTTTAGAATTTCGAGTAGAATTTTTGCCTATTATTGAGAACTTTATTCAAGCATGAAATCCCACGAGTGATAGTCAATTCAAAAAAGAGAATTTTTTGTTTTTGCTTCTTTCTTAAAAAGTCATTGATTGATATATTTTCTTTACAAATCTTTGATTTGATGTAGTCTAATTTTATAAATTTTGATTGTTATTATTTAATTAATAATGGTTTCAATAAGATACACTTTAGTTATTCTATAAGAGATAGTTGAGTATAAAATAAAAATTACTTGGCTTAATAAGCTCAAAGTCTTTGATTGAAATTTTCCTTACTTTACAAATTATTTTCTGTATTTTAGAACCTAGTTCATATTTGAGAGTTGATTTTATTATCCAATAGAAATTTAGACTCTATTTAATAATTACTTAAAAGATTTTGTATAAAGAGTTTTGTATAAGATGAGATTTTTTTATCAAAAATTTTTTGGGTCATAAATGATTCTATTATCTATCTTGTTATTCAAATATATATTATTATTTTTTGATTAATTAAATTTTATTCAAATTTTTACACGCATGAGTTGTTATTTTATCATAAAACATGAATACATATATTGGTGTCTTTACTAGGTCTTAAAACATTTCTGGCAATCATTTTTAGCCCTTAAAACATTTGTTTTATAGTATTCATAGCCTAAATTGTACCATTTCAAACTATTATAAATTAAATAATGAAAGCTAAGATAAAAATATTTTTTAATTAGAAAGCAATCGACTTGATTAAGTTTGGTGGAATACCACTATCTTAATTTTTTTGTACATATGTATAATAATAAATAAATAAATAAATAAATAAAATTATAGTAAAAGAATCTATTTCAAAATCAAAAAAGGTTTTAAGAATCAAACTTATTTCTTGTAAATCTGTCTGAGATTATAATTATTTATTTATTCATTGAAGTTAGGTTTAATTGGTGCATCACAGTGCTATTGTCTTTACTTAGTTTATGTGTGAGTCCCACCAATGAATCTTAATTGGTAGATTGATTAAAAACATAATTTCAAGTCATTTACTTATATAAATATTAAGATTAAAAATTATTTTTATTATTTAAGTATTTATTAAAATTTAGAAGTATTTATGAGTTTAAAAGTCTTATTAGAAAAAATATATATAGAATTGGGTCTTAGTAAGTCTTTGATGCAATTATCTTAGTTGGTTTAGTAATTTTGTGTATTATTAAATATTAATATTTAATTATTAAGACTAATATCTATATTAGTTTTTTTATCTACATATATCACTTATTAATCTATAAATGTTAGTTGGTAGTTAAAAGAAGCATGAGAAAGAACCTCATATCTATTGAATTATTTATATAAAAAATATGATTTTTAATTGATTAAAATTAATTTTATGACTATAAAAATAAAAATAAAGTATATAAATATAGTTTTTAATTTATTTTAGAATTATTAAAATATTTAAAATTTATAAAATTTATTTAAAAATTATTAGAGAAATTTTTAATATTTTGATAAAACTAAGTATTATCACCTTGGGAGCTATTATAAAGAAATGGACCAAGATTTGAAGGCTTTTCAAGGCTCTTAGGCTAATTGGGTGTTTCTAAACACTCTGGTTAAGTTAGAATTTCAAAAAAAATAGTTCTACTAGCAGAAAATAAGAAGACTAGTAGCTAATCTAGTCTTTGTAGGAAGAAAGGTTCACAAGTCCCATGTGAGTTCTAGCACTTTAGATGTAGGTAAAAAGATAAGACTAAGGCTTCAAAGACTCTCTAAGATACTTTTTTACATTTTATGTGAGCCTTGGAAAGATTCAAATGTTTAATCTATAAGAAAAATACTCTTGAAGTAAAATATTTTTATTTAATTTTTTAATTATTTACTTCCTATTTTTAAATCTTCATAACTTATTTATAATAAATTGGATTAAGATATATATATATATATATATATATATATATATGTATATATATATATATATATATATATATGTATATATATATATATATATATATATATATGTATATATATATATATATGATTGGAAAGATAATAAAATTAAACATCTTAAAATATATTTTTTCATTATTTTTTTATTAGATAAAAATCTAATAAACAGGTTGTCATTAAGTTTTGAAGGGTCTTATTCCTTAAATACATTCATTTTACTTATTCTATATTTATTCTTCTTTTTTTCTTATTATTTGCTTGTCTCACTTTACATCACTAATTACAAGCAACTCTTAATTGATGTCATCTTATAATTTGGATTGAAAGGTGAATTTTATCCTTACAATATGTAGATCTAAATAATTATTAAAAAATATATATAATAGTAATAATTTTGTTCACATTGAATTCTTTGTCATTAAAAAATAGAAATAAAAATTATCTATATATTTATTATTAATTACTTATTTTATGATTTATAGAAATCCAAGTCTTTTGATTTTAGTATGTTGAAAGTATATCTTAAGATTGGATTCAAGAAACTGTTTTATCTAGTTATTTTGTAAGTTGGCCATGTGGCACATATATTAAAAACTTGCCTTACAAATTAGATACATGATTTATAAGTTGGATACAAGTTCAATGATCTATAAAACATAGCAATATAGCTTTTTAGTTAGATATTATATAAAAAATCAAAAGTGAGTCCTTCTTTATTTTTATCAATAGTTCTCTTATTTTTATCATTGTTTCAAGAGTCTCTAGTCTTCTTATTTTTGGCATTAGTTATTCTAATTTTAGTATTATAATTATGTTTAAGTAAATATTTATTCTTTTCTAGTGATACAAGAGTTTATTGACTCTTTGGTTGTTTTATGTTGTTTTCATGTCTTTAATAATATATTTTTTAACTTTTGTTCTACAAAGAAATTCAAAAAATATTTAAATTAATTTGATAGAAAGTCTTCAATTCAACCTAAAGTCAAAAAAACCAGTATTGATATAAATGGCTTTAAGAAACAATTTTAGTTTTTAAAGATTGTTCTAATAAAGTTGTAATTACTTGAATTCAATACCATAAAATTGTACAATTGTATGATATCTACATAAAATACCTTGTTGATTAGTTATAAGAACTTGACTACATTGATCATATTATATACTTTCCAAAATATATTACAACCATCCAAAGAAGTTTATAGCAAAGTGATAATAACTATGTAGTCTTTGGCAAGTAACTGATCTACTTTTGATTTTACTCAAGATAATTAGAATCAAAGTCTTTAACATTTAATAAGCTACAAATGAACATAAATAATTTTGAAATGTGGTTACTAAAATCTAATCAAAATCACTTTTCAATTAAATTATAGAAGTATTGAAGTAAGAATCAAAACAATTTATGTACTATTTATGCATGATTTATTTACAAATTATGTACAAATTATTGCTAATTTAAATAAAAGTACCAATAAATAAATAAATAAATAAACAAAATCGTCTAATTATCTTTAATTTAGCCTTTGAATACCAATAGAAACATGGTCCAAATTATTCAGAAGATCATTATATTTTCACTTGAAATCGATGCTCACTTTTTTTCAATTCCAATGATCATGAACAATTTCTATCATATGATGCAACCATGCATATTGAAATCTGCATCTCTACTCAGAAGTGCTACCTGTTTCTTGGCAGATGAGAGAATTGGACGACTGCAGGGACTGCATTAACTTTCACCTCACCTTCGATAATTTTATACACAAGTCGGTGCATCGTAAAGGTGCCACCAATAGTTCTCAGATAGGAATTTAGCTGGTCAAAAAATTATGCACAGATATGGCAAAAACCAGAATCGAGTCATTCAATGCAGAAAATGACGTGCACTGAGCTGAAATGATTCTGCCAGCAACATGTGCTCTTCATAACCCACAAACAACAATCTATCTTCATGGGGAATATGAAGTACGTGCTACAATCCATAGCCAAAAAAACAAAATCTTGTGCACTCCTGGAGGACCATGAAAACAACGTGAACTCAACGTGAACTCAGCGTCAGTTAATGAGGTATCATATGTCCATCACGTTCGACGGTTGCCGCTGCAAACTTGGGGACCAAGATACCACGTATCCATGTGGTCGGTACAGTTTGCTCACTGGCCAAGTGTCTTCTACAACAAATCCTCGACTCACTTCCAACCATGCACCCATTGGGGGCACACCCTCTCCTGATGCACTCGCAAGGCCGGGTGAGCTTACACTCTCGAGGCAAGGATCCCAATTATCAGTCCAACAGACCTCGGCAACTAGAAACCGACGCTTCCTGGGCATGTGCAACCTAGCAGCCTCGTCAGCAACTTGAGCAGCAGTGGTAACGAAATCAGATAAAGAGAGCACATGGGCACATCGGGCTGCGTCTGACCGAGGGATGACGACTGGCGAAAGCCACTCCAGCTTTGGGATTATATACCATTTGCTGTGCTTGTGGAGTGGTAAGTCCGCAAATTCCATAATGTCACGCGTCCACCAACCAATCCAATGGTTCGTGCTCAAGCTGGCTTTTTCAGGGGGCTCATTTTGTTCCATGTCACTAATTAGCGGTGCAGAAGGAACCGTTTTACGCAGTCCCTGAGTTTCTAAGTAACGCCATAGCTTGTATTCATAAAATAGATAACCTTTTAACAAAGCGCTAGGAACAATAGTCAAGTTTTTAATTCCTTCGCTATTTTCAGCCTCAGAATCCTTCATTGTTTCACTTTGTGGAGTGCGTTCCGCAGCGGTTGATACCCCGCCTTCCACCACGCTTAGGTCCAACATTTGAATGGATACTGGAGGGATACCAGTCAGGCCCTCGATACTTCTTTCCTTGGAAATCTTATCACTGTCAACAGTTTGCAGCCTTTCGTCCCGAAGCTCGTCCAAACAGTTACTAGAATCATCAGGCCCCTTGTCTATATAAAGATCACGGAGCATTAAAGCGGCACAAGGATTAGCCGAGAGTGCCAACTGGTTAACTAGTCGGGCTTTGCGATCAAGTAAAGTTTCCCCAACATGAGGTCCTAGAAAAGACCCAAGAAAATTGTCTACCTCTCTTGGACTGTCTTGAACAGTCCATCTGGCCTCATCCAAATCTTCCACAAATAATTGTTTGTTATCCTCAGAGGCATTGTCCTGGCACCGGTCTTCTTCAGATCTGCTGAGAGTTCCTTCGCTAAATCCCATGTCTAAGTTGCGTCGACTAGATGAATCAAGCTTTGGATTAGTATCCTCTGTGTCAGAGTTCCTCCAAGCAGCATAAATTGGAGTCTGAACTCCAAATACTTCCCAGGGACCCGCATACAATAAATACTTCACAGAGACCTCCCAATGATGAAACTCCTTTCCTTTTGAAGCATCACCAGTAGGTTCCAATTGACTATGTACAGAAGGAAGTTCAAATAAGAAATCAAACTCTCCAATGGTGGTAGTCTTCCCCTTGCGCAGCCGTATCCGTTCTAATTTTTTCAGCAATTTACGTCTCCGCTTACCCACTTTTTCTTGAATGGTATTCCCCACCATCCTCGAGTTCTTATTAGTAAGTTCCATAGATTCCAAAAGTTCAATAGATTCATCAAGTGAGGTAGGCGCACTTTTAGCTGACACCTGCTGCTGCTTATCCTGTAACGGTACCACGCAAGGACTAATAGATGATTGCAGATCATCTGAGACAGGCCCCACTAGCATGGAAGCCACACTCAAGCTGCTGCTACTTAGATTCAATTTTGATTCCAACGCTTTCAGGGTTTTGCTACTTCGAATGGGCTCTGTAACCATTTGAAGTACTTGCTGCGATGTGTGCAACTGCTGCACCTCCACATGTGGGGAATGTCGAAGTACATACTCGATGCAGAGTGCAAAATGATCTCCTGCAATATAACCTCTAAATCGTCAACGAAGACCAACCTTAGACCGTTACAAACACTAATGATAGGATTATTTGCTTCTAATTCAAACTGATTGATAATTAGAAATGACTTAGAGGTGCATTAAATGTCGCAAAGTGAAGAGGATAGTGCAGAGTGCAAACCAAGCCTTTGGCTCGACCTGTGGGATGTAAACCATGCCTCGAGAGCAGGAATTGGTAGTTGCTGTAGCCAAACTTTTGTACAGGGCCACTGTTTATTACTCCCTCCTAACATTGACGTGCTTACAGTTGGCAGCTTCAATGGCGACAACGTCGACATCAGTTGGCAATCTGATACATCATCCTTAGCAGAGCTATCGCACTCATACACCAAACAGCGACCTAACGTGGAGGATTCAAAAGTGATCATAAGCTGGAAAAGACTATTATCTACCTGAAGTTCAATGAATGTCGCAAAACAACGCTGAGGGTTTGAAGTTTGCAGAATGCTAGCCGTTCGTATGATCAAACTATGAAACAGATAATGTAATGAAGACACAGGCCGTGATGGTTTAGATGTAGTTAAGAATAAAAAGGGAGATTACCTCTTTGGAAGTCGACAAGAGGGACGGACCCACAATGATATATCCGATATCTCGTAAAAGCCTGGTACATAATAACAATAAATAATAATAACAACAGCAACAATAATAATAAGCATAAACATAACCACAGGCTTAAATATAACTTATACCATTTTAAAGTACAACTTTATAATAGAAAAATCAAATAATATAAATATTCGTAGTACATTGATACCAGCATGCAACAGTAGTACTCAACACCGAGAACGATATCCTTTGAATCAAATGCTATATTATTTATAAAAGATCATCTCTATCCTTTCTTCATATGACAAGTATTACAGTGATATTGTGAAGCCAATACTTACTTTGGGCAAGAATGCACTGATAAATGTTTTTGGTTTATCAAATAAGCTTGATGTATTCTGAACTCTTTCTTAACTTCTTAACAAATATCATACTTGAATATATTCGTACATACATGCACGCACGAAGAGGTGTAATTTAACAGTTTTGCTCTGTCACCTACACATCGTCCTTTCGAGATTAAAAGTAAATAGACATACATATTTGACGTAACGAAACTTGATTTGGCAAAGCGACGAACATCATATTATGATTCTTCAAGGGTTACAGGAGAAACATACTTGTGAGGTAGACGTTTTAAAAATTCCCACCGCTCCATCAGCTCCTTGTAAGAAATTTCCTCATGCCAGCCCTGAACCTGTGCATCTAACAACTGATCTGTTTCCATAATTGCTACGTTGCGTTTTCCACCAAAATTGTCCATCCTAGATGCGACTTGAGAAGACTTGGATATTTCTCCAGGCTCTATACAAGAATTTTCAACTGCACACATGTCGCCTTCATCCTCATTTGCCGAAGATTGAACTACTCGCCTTCTACTGCCATTTACTTTACGAGGAAAACTCCAACTTTGCATGCTGCCGATGCCTAAGGCAGTTTCCCATGAAAACGAAAGTCTACACAAACTACAAAGTCCTCCGCTGTCGATCGACACATGTCTCCCTTTCGAGTTCACCTCAATTTTTTTATGAGCCACTGCAAACATACGAGATTTAAGCATGATGATTATTGTTATTGATGCCGAATCTAAATGTTATGAAACAGACCCTGCAATACACACAGCACAACAGTTCCCAAACCCAAAATAGAGTCAGACACAGGGAACTTTAATATTGCCATGAACATTGAACCTGATCATCTGCGACCTGATCCCCCATACACAACCCATAGTAATTTACAAGCTATTGCCCAAGACCTAATTTGATTCGAACCTAGGATCAGTCAATTGTGTCCTTCGGACATTCACTTTGAAACTCTTCAAAGAAAAGCTATTTAATTCAGCATCCACAATACTATGGGCTAAGCCGAAAGACGACAACCGAAAACTCTAACTTGTTAGTTTAAAGCAATTAAAAACGATAGAGAAGATGCGAGCACGCTGCTGCAATTCTTCAATTTCCGAATCGGTGTTCCCATGAAACTAGAGCCCCATAAATCCTAAAGCTATTCCTCAGGCACTCTTCGAAAGTGCATCACTTTCCAGACAATAAGATTCTCCTCGTAAAACAATTTGCAAAATCCAAAATCCTTCGGTGCTTACTCACAAAGCTCACTTGCATACATTGACTCACAGACTCTACAGCGACGCCGAGGCTAAGGCAAATGCGCATTCACACCCTGTTCAGAACTGGTTTCGAAACTTACACGACAAACTGCATCTCACTCCAAACCCGAGATCCCATGTGCTGCAGAAGAAGCACGGGCACCGTGGTGGACTGCGAAGGAGAAGACCCCATGCTGCAATAAGGGAAACGATGCTCAACAAGGAGAAGATGAATTGGCATGTCATCCCACGGAGGAGGAGGAAGCGAAGCGATGAGAAAGTAGTGGGGGGTGTGCCAGCTTCAATGGTGCCCCTTCTATACCCGCCAGCCTAATACCGGGTATCAATACATGTCACCCTTAGAATTGTGTGTATAAGATTATATTTAGGGGAATGTTAAATAGACCCATACTTTTATTAAATGTATCCATTCTTGATGAAGAATATGGTAATCATTATGAATGTGGTTGGTATTTTATTGGTTGCAAATCCAATTGTGGAGAAATGAATGTAGAGGTCATCTTTTTTGTTCATGGTGGTTAGGATAGGTGGATTGATTTAGTAAAAACTCAGGTCTATGTAACATTATCCCATATTTATTTATCTGTATATTTATTTTTTTTATATTTTTATATATATCTACATATCACCTTTGTTTAATACCTTTCAAACCAATCAAAATTTTTTAGTTCAAAACCTCTCACTTATTTGATTAAACAAAGAAGTATCAAGTAATTCACAAATTGTGGTGGTAATAGCAAAACTGAGGTAAAGTTAGCAATGCAATATATATATATATATATATATATATATATATATATATTGTGTGTATATGAGAGTTTTGAGACTTTGATTCTTAAAAAAATTATGACTGATTTTTTACTATTTATTCTATTTAATTATTTTTTTAATTTGAAAATTTGATAGAAACAAGAGCTTCTTACAATTTAAAGTTTTACAGTGATATTATACAAGTGAGGCAGAAAAATATTGTTGAAACTAATTATAAATTTGAGATTAATGCTTGTGTATTATAATCTTTTGTAGAAAAAATGTGCAAAACTTTCAAATTTGTGATGAGGTAGAAAAATATTGTTGAAACTAATTATAAATTTGGTATTAATGCTTGTGTATGGTAATATTTTGTAGAAAAAATATATAAAACTTTCAAATTCGTGATGTGCTTTTTTATTATATATATATATATATATATATATATGTATTTTTATTCACAACTAATGGAAGGAACTTATATAGGGAGTTGTTAAAGCCACACCCCACATTACCATCTCATGATTGATTTTGTCCATTTCTATCTTTGTCCTTTGTTCTATGTTCCCCATCCCCCATTTCCAATCCCCATGCCATGTTCCCTATCCCATCCCTCATTCCCTATCTCTCAAAATTAATCATTACATGGTTTGGAGATGTGGCTTCAACAACTCCCTTTATACATACGGCAATGATAAAGTGACCCAAGCTTTTACAAAATCAACCCACATGTTTAAATCATCATTGTATCCTTGTAATCCCATTCCCAATCATAGTCATTTTCCTATTCCCAACTGTCACCCCATTCCCAGTTCCCTTATTTCCAACTCTTGCTCCATGTTCCCAATGTTTCTAACTCTTTGCTCCCATCCTTAGCAATGGTTGGGAATGGAGAATGGTTGGGAACAAGGATTGAAATTGCAAAATTGCAATGATGGTGAAAATAGAGTGGGTCACTTTAATAAAAATTTGGATTGCTTCATCATTCCCCATGTATATATATATATATATATATATATATATTCCAATTTTAGTACATCATGAAAGACTTTAAACTATTACAAATTGTTGTGGACTTAGAGCTGTATTTATTTTATGTGATGTTTCTCTAAGAGTTTAAACTAAATAGGATATAACAGTAAACATAATGTTGACATTGTGTTAGAGAATCAACTGATACTATTTGCACATTTGTTTGGAAATAAATTTAAGTATCTGAATAGATTTCCATAAAATCAAGAATTGGGCATTTTAAAATAATACAAAGAAAATTGCAAACAATTCAGTTTTGTGACATTAAAAAATCAGGTGCATATTTGGAAACCACGACTAATTCAAAAAATATAAATCTAAAGACAACTTCAAAAATTTCATAAATATATTCATTATGAATTTTAAGACTGAAAAAGGTTGTGAATGCATAAAAACTGACATAAAGATTCTGTCAATTTGTGAAATTTCAACAACTACATCATGAAACAATTGTCACATGCATGTGCATGTGATTGTCTCTCCCTACATAAATAAATAATTTAACATGTATGGTATTATTAATGACACTGCATATAGTTTCTAATTATAAATTAAAAATCATGGAAATGCATCTATTTTACAATGAATAACCTTCCCTGCTACCCATTTTCTAGACAACGTGGGAACAGAAACTTCAAATAATAGCAACGCTTCTGTACATCATTTCATTTACTGTTCACTTTGATTCCTATTGGTAAACAATTTTTTAAAAAAGGAGCAAACCACACAGGTTGTTGTTCGTGAGAAATGTTAATTTGTTTTAGAAAATTATGATTGTGGACTGTGATATGCGTTCAAAATATTACATAATTTCTTTCAACAATGATTTTACAAAACAAGAATTAATAATTATTTGGCTTTCAACCTCTTGAATTGCATTAGATCCCAAAATTGTCTATAGAAAATTAGGTTACAATGTATCAAAAAAGAGATTGTCCAAATATCGTAAGTTCCCACCCTATCCTTATGCAGAAACACGTTCATCCATCTTGTGCACCATGATGCCACTACATTCATCCATTCATCCATCCACCATCCATCCACCATCCATCCAATACAATAATCGGTCCTCACACATACTATCATCTATCTAAAATCACATTCGTCTACGACTATTCATCCACACAAAGCGCCCATCCGCAATCCTGCATCCATCCACACGACTTCCTCTTCAACGAACACACCAATTCATCCACTTATTCATTTGCTTGCAAAGTAAAACGTCGTCCACTGATTTCAGGAACTCCCACTCAGAGTCCCACCAATCCCTAAGCGAGTTCGAACGCACGGTCACGGGCGTCCATTAATTGTGCCAATTCTGAACCATCAGTGTTGGGCCACAAAGAACGGCCAACCATCCATCCCCGCGCAGGTCTTCATCCACTGCGAGCACGGTGAAGGGAGAAGATGAACCATCATCCGCCGGGTGTCGGCCCCTGAGTGGGTGGGGCTTGCGGGGACGGGTGCCCCCGAGTAGTGAAGAGATGTAGAGGCAGGCGGAGCTGCGCAGGGGATGTCCCGTCGCCAAGACAGTTCCGCACCGAATTCGGGGGATCCGCGCTGGGGCTTCGGATGCGAAGAAGAATGAATCCCCCTTGCAACAGCCTGTTGCACCTCCTCTTCCTAATCGTCGTCGTCGTCTTTTGAAGCCTCCCTCCCTCGCTCTCTCGCCGTGCATACTACTCACCATGAGAAACTGTGCAGTTGATGCGGAAGGGTTGTTGTTGTAGTTGTGACGGGGTTCGCAATTGCATTTACGAACTGGGTTTTTGTTTCAAGAGGCTTTAGCGAAAGCATTTCATTTTTGTGGGGGTGTCGTTTGGTGTCGTTTGGAGCATTATCTGTGTTGATGTTAATGAGCGGAAGAGGATTAGGAAGAGGAAGCGGAGGAGGAGGAGGAGGGAGAGGAGGAAGGAGAGGAGGAAGGGATTTGGGTTCCATTTCAAACTTCTCGTGATGAATGCATGAGACGTGAGGTGGTACCGAGACGAGAGTGGTGCATTGTGTGTGTGTGTGAGAGAGAGAGAGCGAGAGAGAGAGAGAGAGAGAGAGAGAGAGAGAGAGAGAGTAGTGGTGCATTTGATCGTGTGGGAAGTGGTTGATGGGTGTGGGGCAAAGGAGATTGTTGTAGTTCTCTTGAATTTTGGTTGAATTTGCGAGTTTTTTTTGAGTGGGGGTGTGGGATTTTAGGGGTTCTTTCTTTGGTGGCTTCTCTGTGGATCTTTTGGGTTGGGCGATCTTTTTTGAATTGGCGGGCGTTTTGAGAATGTGGTGGTTCGCTTGCAAAGGAGAATTCGAGATTGGGTTGGAGTTATGGTTTTGGATTGAGCTAGTAAGGAGTTGAAGGCGGGGTAGCCGGTGGAGGAGACGGCTTTTTGAGGTGTTGCAGTTGGGGTTTCGAGTGATTGTGACATTTTTGGTACTTTACATAGGGTTGTAGCGGGTTGTGGGATCCATGTCCTTCATGGCGGCTCCGAGGACTTTGTATGCGCACAATCCAGCTGTAGACAGTGCGATTAGAATGGAGAAACAGCCACCGGCGTCGGTGCTGCACTATTTTAGCCCATTTATTTTGGGCTCGTTCCCTCTGCGGGCGTTACGCCGTCTGGCGATGGCCTTTAATTCACTCTCCGCTATGGCGCCCACTTCTTTTCATCTCAATTCCATTCGGTTAGCTACACTGAAAAAAGACGAGGGTGATGAATCTCAGAGTGCTGAGGATGGAGAAAGCTCAGCGCCTCAACCCAGGCTGCCCCTAATCTGGTTTCCAAGGTTTGGTCGCAGTGTGAAGGAGATCAACGAAGTGCAGACGCGAAGAGATATTGCAATGGCGCGGATCACTGACGGTGAAGAGACAGAGAGAAAGGTTGTGCCTTTCACGAATTCTCGAGGCCAAACTATCTTTACGCAGTCATGGACTCCTGCTAACCCTGAAGTTGATTTGAAGTACGTCCTTTTCTCTTGCCATTCCTCCCAGGTTGAAATGTCAATCTTTCAGCTCGAAATTCTTAAACCCCTAAAAATTGATGATTTGGTTGAGGTATCTCACTGGATGACTGACTGCTAAGACTTTCGAATAGTTACCGATGATGCGCACACGGAGACTGCTGTAGATGGTAATTTTGATATGTTAATTGGCCTAAGCTTTCAACGGTGTTGAGACATTAGAACTTTCTAGAAGTTAAGCGGAAGACAGTTTAAGAACAAGAAACGGAAGTCCGATCAGGGTATGCAGGCGCTAATGTCATCCAGTCGTGTTTGAAACGTGTTATTCTATTTTAATCTATTTTACTATATATATATTTTCCTGGTCATCTTTCACGTTATCTTGATCATAAATGCTAGAAATCCTGATGTCGAATTATTCTGATTTCGTTCTGCAGAGCACTGGTGATCCTGCTACATGGTCTCAACGAGCACAGGTTCTGGACTTTGGTTAAAATTCTACTGTTCGCAAACTTGATGCTATTAAATTAAAATTAAAAATTTGCAATTTTTTGGGGGGTGCTATTTGATAAAACTATTTTTTGATTTTTTTTGTAACATGTAGACTTGCTCTCAATATAATAGTGCAGTGTATTCACTTGTTTACTTACATTGGACAGTGGGCGTTATGCGGAATTTGCAATGCATCTCAATAGTCAAGGTTACGGAGTGTTTGGGATGGATTGGATCGGTAATAAGTTTTTTCGCCTCTTGAATTTCCAGATTTCACAATGTATGATGCCCAACTCTTCTCTGGGATGTTGTATGTACTTTGTCATCAATTTTTAGCTAGCTTTGTTGCCTCGATGCTCTGATCGGTTTACAATGGTAGTTATTTCAGGACATTTGTTAAATGCTTCAGAGTTTATTTCGATACAGGACATGGAGGAAGTGACGGATTGCATGGATATGTGGAGTCGCTTGATCATGTTGTCGCCGACACAGTACGTCACTTTCATTTATGCGCATAAAGGCGCTGAAACTCATGCATGAATATTCTTAAAAATTTCAGTTGTGCTTGCATCTTTTCAGTTCTGATTCGTGGTTTCTGAAGCAGAGAAGATATTTTTGAATAACAGTTAATTGCCATTTTGCATTTTCACAGCAAGAGTATCTTCAAAGGGTAAGAGCTGAATATCCAGGCCTTCCCTGCTTCATATATGGACACTCCACCGGTGGTGCAGTTGCTTTAAAGGTGACCTTCGCTCTTGTTGATTGAAATAAGATGTTTTTCTCCTCTTGCAACGTGTATGACAATGATTGTAGTATAGAGCTGCTTTCAGTGAACTTGCACACACCAGTAAAAATTATATTAACATATCTGGTTTCGGGTTTTGACATCTTTCTTTTCATGGTTGATCATTTTGTAGGCCGCATTGCATCATGAAGTACTCGAGTCATTGGAGGGAGGAATTATACTAACATCGCCAGCTGTGCGAGTCAAGCCTGCGCATCCGGTGATCGGGGTATTGAAGCTACCATAACTTTCTCATTTATAAATTCCCATAAAATTGACAATTTTAGGATATTCCTCGCCATCTTTACTTGTCACTTGTACAGTTCTGAATCTCCATCCTTAACTTAGTCTGTTCGTAGTCTGCCACTAGCAATCTATTGTTTCTTCATGATATGAGTTGAATTTTCTCAACTATGAATTTTTTTTTCTTCAGGCTGTGGCCCCTCTTTTCTCTGTCCTGTTGCCAAGGTACCAGTTTCGAGGTGCAAATAGAAAGCTTGCCGTTTGTCGCGATCCGGCTGCTCTCGTCGCGAAGTATACCGACCCATTAGTTTATACAGGATCTATTCGTGTCAGGACAGGGACTGAAATTTTGCGATTGAGTTACTTCTTGCTCAAGAATCTAAAGAGTGTGAATATCCCCTTTTTGGTCCTCCACGGGTCTGATGACCAGGTAACCGAGCCCATGGGTTCCCAAGAGCTTTATGATCAAGCATCATCTTTGCACAAAAATATCAAGCTCTACACAGGTCTTTTGCACGATATTTTGTTTGAGCCAGAGAAGTTTGAAATTATTCGAGACATTGTGGAGTGGATGGACGACAGGCTAGCATTAATTAATACCAGGGAGGATTTGACAGGAGACGTTTGAAGGTACATTTGACAATAAAAGATGCAGCAGACATAGCATTCGCCACTAGAAGTGTATGCAGAAGGCATTATAGAAGCTTTGGTTCTGGGAGGTATGCCAGTCCTGCTCACCAGATGAGGCTTTACTCGGCACATGCCGCTGGCATAGCACTGTTAGAAGACCAAGTAGGTAAACCGGCAGGCATGGTCTCTCAACATCACTTTAGACTGGGCTGCATATGCGGCGACTGCGTCCTTCATAATCGAAGTAGGACGTGTTGGGCACAGATAGCTTAAGGCATCAAACCAATTCTTGAGAAGTACATATACTATTTGAGGCAGAGTCTATTGGAATATCGAAAGGGGTGTTATATCAGACGTGGGTTCCTGCACAAATACAGAAGATTGGGAAGCAGTAGTCATAAAGAGGAATATAAACTAACTTTTTAGAGCGGGAGGAGGATTCCCGATCTCAAAACTGCACTCATTTTGTCAGCATGATCATCCCTCAATTACAATTGTGATATATGCACATTCATTTAGGAGTGTGAGCTGATGCTTATCACTGCTGCAATCCTACGATTTTAAAGAGGGTTGCCATCTGCTCCATGCCAAAATTGGATAATGACGTTACTGATGTAGCATCGTTCTCTATTTAAGCGGGAGTGGGTTCTATTTTGTCCGAGGTCTGCTTAGTTACTCGTGTATGGAAGAATCCCCCTGAAGTTGCAACCTAACTGTGAGTGCAATTGTGCTCTCAGTTGCACTTAGCTGTGTAGCGATTTATTGCTTTGATTGACGATAATTAGTATGATGATACGAGAATTTCATTTGCCAATGGATTATGATAAAAACTTTATATATATATATATATATATATACATACATGTGTGTGTGTGTGTGTGTGTACATGGCCGAATTTTGATAGCAGGAAGTGTCTGGAATGGGAAAAGCTTTGGATCTGTATTGAGACCATTGCTTATGCTGACATATGAGCATCATTCGTTCTGCCACATGTACTCAGCCTGCGATACTCAATGTTGGTCTATGTTATTTAGAGTTTTGTAAAGTGATATATTGTGTCGATAGTTCGCAGGGCTTGGCTCGTAGCACTTAGCCTGTGAACACCACCAGCAACTTGCTTTCGAATCTGTATTTCTTTTCCAATCCAAATTTTGGATGCGGGGGTCTTTCCATTCTCCATTTGATGAATTTACAGTCTAGAGTAAAGTCGAGCGGGAGGTATTGATGATGGCATGGAATTGCCAACTGGTAGTAGACAATGTCCTTGTTACTGTGCGCATGAGCCTCTCTTTCATTAATCTCACTGAAATCTCTCATTCCTATCTGGTTAAAACGTCGTCGACACTGTTGTACCCAAAACCTCATAAACTATCGTCTAACAAATGTGGTGTTTGAAAGAGGGACTGGTTTGGAATAATTCCGAACTATTTTGTTGACCCCCGAGTTGATTTTTATTTAAATTAATGTAAGCGTGTAATTTGTGTAATATGTAAACCATATACATTACAATTTTTACAACTTTTTAGCAAGGCAAACTCCTTTTTGTGTGTATATATATATATGAACAAATTGATACAAATAGTAGTGTAAATCTTAAATCTTAAACAAGGTTTCATCAAGCATGCCTTGTCAACCTTTTTGTTGCTATTTTTCAATCTTTTGTGCAATTTGCTATCCTTTAGTTTTTTGAAGTCATTTTAGACATAGATCTATTAAATTTAAATAGATAATATTGAAACATCATAAAAATGGATGTGTTTTGAGATAATGAAAAGAATTGAAGAGATAGATTTGGAAGAAAGTCATTTTTAATAGGATCCAATTTTATATCTTAAAAGATAGTTAATAAACTCTATTAATATAGGACATTGATAAACTTGTCATACATTAAGTAACATAGGACACAACTTTCTCTACTTGTGTTATATTGAGTTTAATATAGAACACAAATAAATGTGGAGAATGTGAATGTGAATAGAGCTATACACAAGAGGGGCATCTTTAGATTTAACACTCAATAACTATCTTTTGCCATCTCATAATTGTTGTCTTATAACTAAGAGTTTAAAAAAAATTCTTTGATTTTCTTAATATATGATAAATTTTTTGATGTTTTCATGACAAATGCCATACATTAAATAAATTGTCTTATATTATATGGTATGGTAATGAAGGTTCTTAACTAATACAAGCATAATTGATTTTTTGTATTTTTATTCTTGCAACTAACATTGTATTTCATAATATGAATATTTGATTTATTGTTTAAAAAAATTGATATTTATGAAAATATGTTGCAATTATTAACGTGTGATATGGAATTCAAAAATAAAAATAAATTACAAAAATAAAAATAAAAATAAAAATCTTAAATGAAGAAATTAAATCAAAGTTTTTTAAAAGAATATTTAAAATTTTATATTAGGATAAATATAAAAGAATATTAAATCAACCCCACTAGTCATTAATTTGACCTATTTATTATTAAAATCACAAAAAGTAAATTATTATTTGATTATAGCAATATCCATATGAATACAAAATTAAAAAATAGATTGTCAATGTGCAATGTGTCACTATAAACATTATTAAAAGTTTGATTGGATTAATCATGGCTAATATGTGTGTGAAAATAGTACATCCATATAAACATGATTAAAGAAATATTTTAAATTTGATGGCTATAATAAACAATAACAATTGAATGCTATATATTTGTAATATTCATGTTACTCACTTCATCAATGCTTTAAATTTACAAAATTTTCTTTGACCTTGTTATAATTTCACAATCTTGGTTTTTTAATTTTTTATTATTCTATCTTTAATGTAGACAAGGAGGTAGTAGCTACTTTGTTCCATTATCAATTGTTTATTCTATTCTCAATTAAAAAACATACTCAATATAGACCTTCCAATAGGTGAGTCATTTGATACATACAAAGACATAAAGAGATGCTTAGATTGATTTATACATGTCTAAAGGTATGCAGTTTTTTGAGGTTGCTCCGACAAAGAATACATCATCTTCATATATAACAAAGGTTATATTTTCAATAGGTCAAACAATTTTACTTTGTCAGCAAAGTTTAACTTCATAGTTGACAAGCTATCCATTTGAATTGTATACTTGTTATTTGTATATAGACAAATGTTGGTACTTATCAATTCAAAATAGAAGTCATAATGATAATCTATTGATGTTGCTAGGAAGACATTTAATTTCTCATTGCCTCTAAGCTACACAAAAGGTATAAACTCTTCAAATGCTTACTGTAGAGATAGCTCCAAGGAATGTTGTCATTGTATTGTACCAAGAAGATTCTACAAGTTAATGGTTGTGTGTACATTTATAATAAGAATCAATATTTTTGTTATATTCATCTTTATAGTTGTTTGCCTATTTATATTTTAATGAAAAATCTTTATAAAGATGCATATTATTATGTATACAAATGCGATGAGATAAACAAAGTTATTTGTCTATTTTTTATTCATATTTAATATATAAAACTTACAAAAAGTTATTTATATATTATAATTATGGATTGTATATGTAAAATAAATAAATAAATAAATAAATTAATAATATCTATGTTGTATATCTTGAATGTCACAAGTTTCAACACATCTTTCATAATAGCGATTGCATTTTGCCAAGAAAAAACACAACTATTCTTGTATTTGGCATTAACACAACTTATTCTATATGGAGCATTGCAATCTATCTACATTGGTGCTAACATGGACTTGATACTCATAAATGCCATTGAAGATATTTTTTTCATATCCAAGATTTTTCTTCATGTTTGGGACATTAAAAAAATGTATTAGCAAATTTTAAGAAATATTTTCTATAAAAAAAAATGGTAGTTGATCTGATTTTCTTGCAAAATGGACTAAGGTGATGAATTACTCTTTGAAAGAGGTTTTTAACATGGAGTATATGAACTTATGTGCCATGTTTTGTTTTGTTTTTTTTTTTTTTTTTCTTTTCTTACAGATGAAGCTGTTGGATATCTTCAAAAAAATTATATTTCTTACAAGGAATAATTTATCAAATTTTGGACAAATAGTATACTTTCAGGTTGCAAAAAGGTAGTACTTTGCTTTAAAGTCATACTTCAAAGTCCCCACATAAGATCTTTGAGATGTTTAGATTTTCTTATCTTTTTTTTTTTCTTTTTTTTCTTTTTTTTAATAATATAATCAAAACAATTAAAGCACAAGAAAGCTTTGAGTATTTGTATATACTTCACCATCATAACATCAATTTTTTCAAGGATGTTATTACAAAGGTGTCAATGCATGATCTTAATCTTAAGTTTGAGTAGTTTTAATTTGCTATAATATCCTTGAATATCAATTGCAATCTAGGTTCAAGCACATTTACAACAACACTTTGACTTCATAGTCAATATTGAATTATGATGATGTTGTATCATAGAGAAGTCTTGATGGTCAATGATTTTGATAAATAATACCACTTGGTGAGTTTGTCACTTTTTATAGCTAAGTCCACTTCAAGAAAAATTGTTGTTGCCATGGAACTAAACCTTGTTGTTGAAGAAGTTGATCAAACATATATTGCACTCGACCAAAAATAAAAGGTATGTAAAAGGCTCTTAAAGTTGACAACAGTGACCATGGATTTAGAGAAACATCTAATAAGTCATCCAAAAAGTTATCAATGCAGCTCAAAAAATATGAAAAATCCATATTATACATGATAATTTTTCTCACAATTTGAACATGTTGAAAGAATAAGTGAAATTGTGTACTATTGCATTAATTATAAAGCCATTGCACATAACATTTGCACTTGTCCTTTTTTGTGGTGTTTATGCTTTACAATCTTTTGCTGCTATATTGTTGACTGGATTGGATTTATTACCAATCAACTTGGATTCATCCTTGATCAACTTAGGTTTATTATAGTTGACTTGAATTTATTATCAATTATGACAGACATATACACTTACCTCAATAGTTACTTATATGATTAAGTAGAAGTAGAAAAATATAGAATAATTCCATAAAGTCTTTTAGAAAAGCTTCTTAGAAGCTTCATAGACGCAGTTTTGACTTTAGATATGTTTGTAGGTTCAAAATTTGGACAAAAAGCTAATCATGTATTGGTAGCTTGTAGAAAAAGTTATCTCCGTGTAGTAGCTTGTGGAACAAGTCAACTATGTGGTGCATACATAGATACCTTGCCTTGCAAGATAAGACATGTGGCTAGTAAAGTCAAAACATGTTGGAGGTCTTATAGGACATCGCCACGTAGCTCTTGATTAGATAGTATACATGGAGGCAAAAGTAAAGCCTTCTTCACTCTTTTCAACGCCTTTTTAATCTTAGTCTTGATTCAAGACTTTTTAGACTTCTTGTTTTTGGCAATAGCCATTATAGTTAATATTATATCACCTTTTGAGTAACTTTCTAATTCTTTTCAGAGATAGAAGAGTGTACTGAAGATTCTCTTTCTTCGAGATTCATGTCCTTGATAGTTTGACAAGAGTACTAATATATTGTTTCTGTCTTATTTTAGAAGTGAGTGGATTATCCCACTTCTATTGTTGTATTTTGAAGGTTGTGGACTACCCCTC